ATTAAATCGATCGTTTTGAGTCAATTGAAAAGTACTTCCTTTACGCAAATCAAATTATTGCAGTATAATAATGACACCCTGTATAAATACTCGAGTGATTCGTGTCTTCTTACCAAATTTTAAAGTCTAGAACATTGTACTATACAAAATTGTAAACACGACAAAGTTATGGAAGCAAAATGTGAGCATAAATAATATTAAACAAAGTGCAATGACAAATCGTAATAATGTTTTGATAATTTTATGACTTTTTATAATTTTAGATCTGTTATTACTATGCGTTGCATTATTCTGTTTCTTTCGCACTTGTCAATGTTATTGCGACTGTGATTATCATGCTGGAGGTTGTACTATAAGCAGGGGAGCCAAAAAGAACGGTGAAACATGTAAATGTGTTTACAAAGGTGCATGGACTTGCACAGGCTATGATGTTGGTTGCAACTCTGATCAAAAACGTATTTGCAAAAAAGGGTGTCGAAGTAGAGAGTGCTGTAATGCTGGAGGCGGTGATTGCGGTGGATATTAAAGTTTTTGTATTAAACTATTGAATTTATATAATTAAAACTTTGTAGTAAATATATATATATATATATATATATATATATATATATATATATATATATATATTTACATTTGTTAGTCTTGTTGTAACTATATACTGCCAAGAATAAAAATAATAAACTTTCACAATTTTTTTATAAACGGTAAAACAAATATAAAACAAGGTATCTGAAAGAAGATCAAATGATCTAGTCATCAGAACCTTAAATAAGTTCAAACAAGCATTTAACAAAAGTAACAACAATAATATTAAACTGTAAATACAAATAAAAATAAATAGTGATCAAAAGATCACGCGGATCTACTCAACTACGTTTTAAACAAACGTAAACGTGCCAATATATAATAATATGTTAAGTAAAAAAAAAAAAAAAAATCAACAAACTAAGCGAGAATAAACTTTTTATAAATATAAATAAAAAAAAGTCAAAGTTATTAATTCATATTATTAATAACAACATAGTACGTCATCTTACGAAAAAATTAGGGTTTTTAATTTACTTTTGAAAAGGCGAAAAGTAATGGGTAATTCAAAATCTCAAAATTCGGCAAAACCATTTTATTCCAAAGGTGTGGTACCCAATAGGCAATGCAAAATTGGTTAAAGTTCGTTTGACAAAAAAATCTAAAAAACTATTATTTCTCAAATTGTATTTATTTAAAGGTTATATAAAATTTTCTTTGAAGACAGATTGGGACATTTTTCCACATGTATTCAAAGTTACAGTTTTCAGTTTTTCTATGGTAATTTGATATTTTAGGCGTATGTGATATTTATTACACTGCGCATATCTAGTTCTTCAGTTCTTAGCATCAAAAAAAGCTCATTACGATATTGTAACAGCAGTTTAATTTGCCTTTATTTTGATATACAAACAACAATAATTACTTTATTTTGATATACAAACAACAATAAATTGTTAAGAACTAGATCTTTAGAATTATATCTTCCCTTGAGTCTTAACTTGATCAATGCATCTTCAAAGTTTGTTTTTCATTTATTTATCGCGAACCAAAACATTCTTGACCTAGACAAATCTGCAAGGCTAACTATCGTAATATGATTTGCAATGGTCTTATTTCTTGGAAAAACACGTTTGTTTGTCTTCTGAAAAAATACTTAAAAATTAAATATAAAATAAAAATTAAAATCATATAAAACCATGATCATAGTAGATGATAACGACGAGTTTTATTATTATACAGCAAAGCTAATATAAACATTTTTAGTTTAATTGCTAATTAGATTCAATTTGTTAAAATCATTTTTGAAAGTTCAGTTTTAGTTCACGGACGGACAGGCGAGTTTTATGACGTGCATTGTACGTACAATGAACGTACTTGTGTCTGCTCTTCTACATAAAAACTAACTGCAAAAAGGAAAACCCAAATACGATTTAATATTGTTACAATTTACCTCGATGTAATTCAAAGCACTTTTTGCATTGACGTAACTTAATGTTTATCTTTCGTATTGATGTCATTTATTACCTACAAAAGCCGATAGGTCAGATTAGTATTTTTTTTTTAAATCGTTTATCTTTGAGAAAAATAAATGGCATTAAAGAGTTATGAATTATTTTGATATTATTTTGCTAAATAGTTAGTTACTAACTAACTAACATTTTATTTTTTAATATGGTTCTTATAAAAAAATCTTTCATTAATTCTATTATGATATATTTTTTTGCTTCTAAAGTTTTTAATACCTAAAACTAAATCTTTAGTTTAAAAAAATATTTAAAAAAATGTTAAGTCCTTTTTTATAACAATGTTTACCTATATTCAATAGAATTTCGGTATACCTTCTAATCTAAATAACTTTAAAACAACCTGAAAATAATCTTTAAATTTTAGCTTAAACGCTTTTTTAAATAGGTTATAAACTGGTACTAAAATTATTAAAATATCTTTTTTAAGTTTATTAAATAAATTTATTAAACATCTTTTTTGTAGTAAAATTAATTTTTAGATAATAAAAGTTTCTTTGAAATTTTGGGCCATACCTTCTCTAAAATAATTTTTTAAACTTTTATTTTGGTAAATGAAATATATTAAAAATTTTAATGCTATAAAATAACTTTTGGTAAATGAAACAAACTAAATATTTTAATGCTATAAAATAATTATATTTTTTGAAATATAGGGGAGAGTGGTACTGAATGGACCACAAAATTAAACTTTTTTATAAATACAATTTTTTCCCATATTGCCAACAACTATGGCGAATATTTCAAAAGTCAAGATTAATAACTTAACTAACAATCCTTAAAAGTTGTAAACCATTGCGCTACAGAACATAGGTAAAATGTGCGATAAATGTGACCCGTACGGGTCATATTTATCGCACAATATAATAATATATTAAATTAAAAAAAAACAAAAAAACAACAAACTAAGTGAGAATAAACTTTTCATAAATGTAAATAGAAAAAAGGCAAAGTTATTAATTTATTCACATATAGCATACAAATCGTAATTTGATGTAATACCTCCACACAAATTTAAACTATTTTTGACACTGTGATCATTTCTTTCAACAAGAATATCATCAGCCTCATCATTATTATATGTCATTAATGGAAACTTTAGAGTTTTTGAGTTACTTGGTTTCTTTCTTGGTTTCCTTTGACGTTTATTTTTAACATCTTTTTGTTTTTCAGAAAAGTTTTTTTTTTAAATTTTGCTGAAGTTGTTGATTTCGAAGAGCCTCATTAATTGGAGTATCAGTTAAAATCGAAGAGGAGAGTTTTTTGCAAACACCTTTTGATTTTTCTAAACGAGCTTTTGCAGAAGGATAAGGGCGTATTCTTTCCACATTCAGGGTATTGCTAACATTTTTTTTGACTTTAACATTTTATTTATTTCTACTGAAACTGGATTGTTGTTGAGTGCTTCAGGACTAGGTCTAATAACTTCTACTGAAACTGGATTAATATTGAGTGCTTCAGGATTAGCTCTGTTAATTTCTATTGAAACTAGATTGATATTGAGTGTTTCAGGAATGGGTCTATTTGTTCCTGAGATTTAAAAAAATTCTCATCCTTCCATCAATCAGGTTGAAATGGACTTATTCCAGAAACTAAAAAACCACTAATGATGTTATTTGGTATTGCTACCTTTGCCCAAGCCTTTCCAGAAATTTCTACAATGTCATAGACTGAAACAGTCATAGATTGAAAGGTCCATACACTAGTATGGTTGCAGTTTAATTGATGTATGGGGTGAGTTGCTAAATCAGTGAAGTTAATTGACATATGAGACTCATGATTATCTAGTATCAACAGCACAAGGTTTGCCATAGATGGTCGTAACTGTAGCTTTACATATATATATATATATATATATATATATATATATATATATATATATATATATATATATATATATATATATATATATATATATATATATATATAATATATATATATATATAAATATATATATATATATATATATATATATATATATATATATATATATATATATATATATATATATATATATATATATATATATATATATATATATATATATATATAATATTTCAGATATATTATGTAGAATCTAGCATATAACTTATCTTGCATATTATATGCCATATAACATATCTAGCATATAACATTTATTATGTATAGTATATATAACAAATGTTATATGCTAGATGCTATTATAAGTAATAACAGCTTATTTATATATCCTAATAATATTACGACATATTCAATTATTGAAATAATGAATTAGACTACAAATTAATAATTATTAACTAAATATGTAAGCTATTAGTCTGCTTAACTTAATATTATATTGAATAATTGAACTTGAGCCCTTATGTTTTCGTTAACAAAAGTTTATTAGATATTTCGGTTCATTTACTAATTCGCACTTCCTTAGTTCATTTAGGTGATAAAAATCGTGTATTTTGTTTTAGTAAGTAACATACCAAAGCGCGATAAATACTTCGCAGAAAAATAAACCGGTTCATTCAATACAATCAATGGTGGTTCATCCAGTACATTAGCCAAAATGTACATGTCACCCATATAATCACAACAACCAGTAAATCATATAACATTTATTCTGATGTTATACAAAGTATAAAATACTTATCTTAAATATTGTTATTAATCGTAGTTAACTTTACTTTAAAAAATTAGTAAATTGAAACAAATTGAAATGATAAAAGTTTACTTTTTCTCGAAAAAAAAAAAAAATATATATATATATATATATATATATATATATATATATATATATATATATATGTATATATATATATATTAGGGTTGTTAACCGGAGAATTTCGTGCAATTCCGGAAAAACAACATTCTTTCGTAAGGAGATTGAGAACACGGAATTACATTTTTTCGTACCGAATGTTACAAAACATTTAAAATCGCCGATGTTCATTTCGCAAAAGCCACTTCCGAAATTTAGCATTTCGCAAGTTGACATACGAAACAAAACTATTTTGCAACATACGAAAGTAGCGGTTTCGGAAGTCGCACTTGCGAAACAAACATTTTTGAAAACGAACGTTTTGAAGTCTATAAAGAAAATTTGTTTGCCAGACTGATTTTAATTGTAAAAATTAACATCTTTAAATCCCAAAATGTTTATAATGAATTTTTATTTTCAGTAAAATAACTTATTAAATTTTTACGGTTTTATTTTTAGAAATATTAATAAAAAATAAAATTTCTTTCGAAACGAAAGTATTTCGGATCACAACATACGAAAGAATTCTTAACGGAAATAAACTTACGAAACGTGCCATAATAAATTTATCTCATTACGTATATTAAAAATAAGAATGATGGGTAGGAATATACATGTTTTTTTTTTAAAGCATATGAAATTTTTGAAACAGGTTCGAATATGCTTAAGCAAATAGTAAAAAGAGGCTCAAAAATATGTTTTAGCTTAAGCATATTTCTGATAAAATATACCTATTTCAATAATTTCTAAAAGTGTACACGTTACTAAAATTCTAGCAGATTTTAAAGGTATGTAGAGTCCTGTTTGAATACGCTTTTCAAAGTTTAGATCATAGAAAATATTGTTTTTTAATTTTAATAAGATATAAATTTGAGTATAAGATTGTATAGTTCAATCAGTTAGATA